CGGAAGAGCTTTGCATCAGCCATTGCTGAATTCTCCCGGCTCTTGGCCGCCCTCCTCCCAGCCCTCTTGCGGGCTCCTTCGCCAGGCTGGCCTCTGCGGAGCCACGGCGGCTCTGCCTCCTGCCCTTCGCTCGGGAGGCCAGCGCCGGGTGCAGGTTTCCAGCATCAGTGGATGAATGCAGTGCTGTAGACAAGTGAGCTGTTTATACCAGGGTGTAGTGCAGCCAGGTTTTGCAGAGTGCTTTGCTCCCCTTAGCTGCCAGCTACTCAGAGCATGATGCTGCAAGAAAGCGGTCCCTGTGCTGTATGTTGAGAAGTACGTATTTCTTCTGGGCTACACCAACTTTACAGGGCATGGTTAAGTGATGGGCTCTTGCAATGCAACTGTGCAGGCAGCAGTCTTGGGCTTGGTGTCCAGAAGCCTGAGGAGCATGTGTGTCTTTGCACAGAATTTATATCTTGTTCTCCTTCCATCAGCCCCTGCCCCAGGTCCTACCATCTGCTCTGGCCAAGGACCTGGGTATCGGGCTGCCTGCTAGCAGCAGGGATGAGATGGTTGAGGGTGCCTACACTTGTTCCTCAGGATCGATCATGATGATTTAAGACCTCACCAGGATAAATGGGGCAGCTGCAGCTCAGACAGAGCTGTTGGCCCCAGCCCCTAGCTGTGTTTGAGTCCCTTTTACACTGCCTTCACAAGGCAAAGGAGCCTTGTAGCAGCTGGATTTCCCTGCCAGGAATCACCTTCTGCCCTGCGCACAGCGATTTCCCTGCTGGCATGCTTCCCCTTGGAAAAGACTTTAAGCTGCCACCGTGCCCCAAATCATCCCCAAAAGGGGCAGTTTCTCCTCTCCTCTCCCACTGGATGTATCACAGAAGAGGTACAACCTAAAATAAAAGTTACCGTGCCTCCATGGCTGATTCCTAGTTCTGCAACTGTTCATACTCTGATCAACTCTGAGCAGTTACTGTCGCAGCTGTAAGGACTGGGGCTTTGTTAATGAAAGGTTAGATTTTGTTGAACGGTTTTGTGGCAGGGGTGGATCTTGCAGCAGGTTCCTGGCTCCAGAGCCACGGAGCATACGGGGCTGTGCCAGCAGAATGTTGAGCATTGTTTCGTTTTTATTTTCCGCAAATGGCATTGAGGGACTTCCCAAGCAAAACATTCCTTTTTAGGAGCACGTTCACCAACTGCTAATGGTGAACTAATGGGTGTGACTCTGGGAGCCACACTCCTCTTGCCCCCAGCTGCTATCAGCTGTGAGAGTAGAAATAGGCACCGGGGGAGCATGTTGTTACTGGCTATTCCAGCTGTTGGGAAGATGGGCAGACTTCACATTCCACCATTAATCCATCTCCTTTGTGAGGAAGCATCACGACACTTTTAATTCCCCCCAAAACACGACGTTCGTGCCCTGGGGGGATGTCTGAATACTGCATAAACTCTGAAATTACTCAGAAGCTGTGCACCCAAAGCCTCTTACATTGGAAGGAAGGAAGGGGTTGCATCAGAGATTTGTGGATTCATGAACATCAGCCTAATTAGGATAAAATAACTTAGACTTCACCTGTTCAGTCCTCTTCAGTTGCCATGACCAGGGCTTTCTAATCTGTGGAGATTTTAATGAGATTGACAGTATCTAGCGTTACAGCCATTTGCCATAGCACTTTCCATTTTGCTGGAGTCCTTTGGCCAAAGGATCAGTTAGTGCAGATGTAGGAGAAGTGCCCGTCCCTGACATCAGCTGTTAATCATTCGGGAATTTCAGAGGGGTCAGTAAAACAACAGCTGTGCTGAGCATCCCAGGCGGCTGGCGGGTGTCCCCGGCAGAGACACCAGTTTCAGGGCTGCCGGGCAGTGTGGCCGATCCAGCCACGGGTGACAGGGGCTGACGAGGCACGTCCCCATGGCACGGGGCCTTGGGGAGCAGGGAGGGGAGCGGCGGTCAGGGTCTCTGACCCATGCTGCTGTGGCACGTGAGCTCGGGCTGGTCGCTGCCCTTGTGCAGGGGAGACGGCGGTGCAGGGGCGGTTGCGGGGTGGCCCGCGGTCACCCCGCCTTGTGCTTTCTGCCTG